CATCGTGATCCAGAACATCACCAAAATTTAAAGGTGTGTTCCTTGGCCCAGTACACACATGTGGTAAAAATGTCACGACAATCTGTCTACAAGTTTTTGAGTAACGTTGTCCACAGACAGACGGACATACAGTACACGACAGAAAACATGACCTCGCCCTTGGCGGAGGTAAAAATACTTTGGACACTCAAGTACAGCAAATATCACATACTTTTAGACTTTTACTCAAGTAATATTCTTAGAAGAGATTCACTTTTCCAGTCATTTACATTATACTTGTACTTTCACTCAAATATCACTTTGAGGTACTTTATATATTTGTACACATTTTGAGCCGTGAACCAATCAGCTTCCAGGAAACACTCGTGATCAAAGCACGACTCGTTCAGACTAGGAGCAGAAGTGACCTGACAGATACTAACCGTGGAAATCCACACAAGGTGCAGCAAAACCGTGGAATCTGTAACACAATGTTTGTGTGTGTCCACACACAGTTGTGTCTTTGTGTTTGTCTTTCATGTAAAGACAAACTGTGGTGCTCGGGTCTTTCCTGGGTAAAAAACAACACTTTCATGTGACTCGCAGACAAACGGCGCAGGGAGGCCTCATTTCTGTGCCAGCAGCGGCGCTCATTGCAGAATCATTATCGCACAAACAGGCCGAGTCGCACAGCGACGCACAAACGCACACCAGCCTGCAGCCTTTGTGTGTGAGGAGACGTGCAGACTCACACCAGCTACAGGTTCACTCATTAGAAACCTGAAAACACGCACTTTCTGCAACACACAGTCCAAGAACTGCCTCAGCAGGTGGTCCCCACACACACAGACACACACACACACACACACACACACAGACACACACACAGACACACACAGACACACACAGACACACACACACACACACACACACACACACACAGACACACACACACACACAGACACACACACACAGACACACACACACGGCTGTCACTGCTCATTGTGTGTGTCGTTCCTGTGTTTGAACCGGCTGGAATATAAAACATGAAAAGGCTCTGCAATCACTTCCTGGCAGAAACAAAGGGATTGTGTCACGTCTCACACACGAGCACCATCCTCTGTGCGCCTTCTCTGCCCCGCGGGGTGACAGGGTGCAATTAGGGACAAAAAGCACCGTGGGAGCATAATGATAGCAGCAGCGCCGCGCTCAGATGTGTGCAGGAGCATCAGTGCAGAGGGTCTCAGTGTCACACCTCTGCACAGAAAACACACGTCTGAGACGCTCCAGGTTTAAAAACGACACGTCATCGTCGTCGTGTTAGCTCGCTCTGCGTTAGCGGCGCAAAGTTCACTTCTGTGTTTTAAACCTCGTCAGTTACTATGGTGACAAGTGGAAAGGCTGTAAAATGGATCATGTGAAAAAAGAAAGGGAAGAAACTCGCATTATTTTTTTTCTTTTCTGACAAATGTCTGCAGCCTGAACCTGACTACGTTCAGAGTTAAACTAGGAGCGGCAAGCTCATTTTCACCATTTTCACACGAGCGTTACAGTGGCCATGAAGACTCCACTAACACTGAGCTCTACCTGGTATTTCGTGCAGAGAAACAGTGTTTTAACAGGTCCTCTCAAACACTGAAAAGTACTACGTGTACCACTGACCACATGTGAAATAATACATTAAGGAATTTTACTCACTGTTGAACTGTGGCGCAACTACCCTGTTGAATTCTGAACTCTCCCACCTTCCAACAGGTAATTCCCACTTTAGAGGCGTTACCATTTAAATTTACAACTTGTAAGTGGGAAATTCCCTCTTTTCAGTAGGAAAAGTAGCCAGAAAAAAAATGCAGCTCCACCTTGTGGTGAAATGCTCTCATTTTGTGGGGAAAATAACATTCATGAGCTCCACTAACAATAACTGAGCTCTACCTGGTATTTCCTGCATAGAAACAGTGTTTTAACACGTCCTCTGATAAACACTGAAAACTACTACGTGTACCACATGTGAAATAAATACTACAGGAACACTAGTAAAACTAAAAGTAAGAGTTCTAATCACTGTTGAGTTGTGGTGAGTAGCTGCCATCTTGAGTTCTGAACTCTCCCACATTCCAACAGGGAATTCCTACTTCCATATTAAAGTTACAACTTTTAAGTGGGAAATTCCCATTTTTCAGTAGCAAAAGTAGCCAATAAAAATGCAGATAAATGTAGATTTTACACAATAAATTTCAACTTGAGTCCTGTGCAGCGCCACCTAGAGGTGGAATGTCATTATTTTGTCTGTAAAATAACCAACATGCATTATGGGAGATGTACTGGTATTTTAAGGTCAAAGCAGGTTATTTTGAGAACTTAATACAAGACTATTCAACTAAATTAAGGGCCATAGTTAGTCAGTCTTTTTAAATATATTTATTTTGTTGCAATGAATTATAAATTTAAATTTTCCGATTGATTCAAAATCTATTTTTATATGAAATTAAATAAAGAAAAAATTTATGGGCCAGACGGAAGTCACCCACAGGCCACATTTGGCCCTCGGGCCTTGAGTTTGACACGTGACCTGAACCTAAATGTGGTATGTAGCTCAGAGTTTTGAGAAAATAAGCTCAAAGTTCTGCTGCAGGAAGTTTGAACGAACGCAGAAAAGCAGATTCTGATCTTTCAGTCCGGACCAGCGGCTTTACAGGACAGAATCAGGTCCAAATGAAACCCGGTTTGGTTCCTGAACATGTGAAAATCCTGGTCAGGGTCTCAGCTGCAGGACTGTCGTCCTCCCTCCGAGGTTCTGATCCACTCTGCAGGATTCTGACACAACAGATGCACGGACTTGTTTGTCCCTCGGGCCACGGGAGGAGATAAATTCAGAGCCCAGACTCCCGGCAGGCGCCTGCTACACGACAGCTTTTTGTAGCGCTGGTGAGTAAACACAAATTAGTGTCATGTTTGCTTCTTTTCAGTGTGAACGGCTCTGAGACACGCAGAAAAATACGCTGATTGAAACAAACGAAAAGGGAAAAGGAGATATAAAAAAAAAGTCAAGTGAATCACAGCCGAGGGGTTTGTTGCAACAAATACAGGAAGAGAGGAGCTCAGAGAGGAGCAGGCAACAAATGAATAAACAAACAAACAAACAAATAAATAAATAAATAAATAAATA